CTCAGAAACAAGAGAGCCAGCTGAGCACAGGCCTAAGTCTCTGAACGTGTGAGCCACAATAAATCGTTCTTCCTTGTAAACTGTGTTCTTCTCAGTACTTTGTGCCAGCAAAGAAAGACTGTATAACCAAGTTTCCTCTGAAGTTTCTAGAAGATCCTTCCTTGCCTTTTCAACCTAAAGATGCTGCTGAGCATTCTGAGGTTTGTAACATCATCACTCCAGGCTCTGCCCTGGCCTTCACTGTCACATGACCTTCTTTCCTGGGTCTCTGTCATCACAGATTGCTTGTGAAGATACCAGTCACTGGTTGTGGCTTAATCTAATCCAGTAGGTACTCATTTCCCTTGCCTGATTATATAGCAAAGAGTATTTCCCCATAAAATAACATTCTCAAGTGCTAGGTGAACTTGAATCATGTAGGGTAGGGAAGGATACTCAATCCAGGACAGTGCCCAAGGCGAACTTGAATCATATAGGGTAGGGTTGGATACTCAATCCAGGACAGTGCCCAAGACGGACTGGAATCATATAGGGTAGGGATAGATACTCAATCCAGGACAGTGCCCAAGGCAAGTGAAATGCTACCAAGAAAAGCCAAAGCCTGCAGCTATCTAACCATCTCTAGCCCCACTAATGTTGACTTCCTCTGGAGCCTGCAGCCATCTAACCATCTCTAGCCACACTAATGTTGACTTCCTCTGGAGGCTCTTCCACCCAGCAGACCCAGTGTCTGCATCTCTGGGCTTCCTCACACCTCCAGTGAAAACAACTACCCTTCCAGACTCTCAGGTCTTACATGAACTGTCCTGTCACTGAAAACTACATGATGAAGGACCTTCGCCCACACCACCATCAATGCTGGAGCAGCTGAATGGTGAGATAACCTGGAAGCTGAGGCCAAGTCTTCAGGCAGAGCCGCCCTTAGCCTCAGCCTTGGTCTTGATGCTGCATTGTGTATGGTGATGCACGTAGATTTGTTAAAACTATGCAGCAAGCAGCCCACACAAGCAATGGGACCACAGCTGAGTGTGGCAGGCAGGCAGATTTTGGGGGGTTACTCTGGAGGACTTATGAATGGATTGTGCTCCCCACCCCTACTTGCAGCTGTTAGTCATGGTAACACTTTCCTCCTGGGCTGAGACACGTTGGTTTTGCTGACAACATCTGTGTACAGAACGTGCCAGTTTCAGAGTGTGGACGAGTGTCAGAGCGGGTTCCAGATCGGTAAACTGACCTGTGAACTGGAAAATTAGGATGATTTGAGGAATTGCACGAGTGTGTGTGTGTGTGTGTGTGTGTGTGTGTGAGAGAGAGAGAGAGAGAGAGGGGGGGGGAGGTGTTGAGGTGGGTGGAGGGGTGAATATAACCTCCAGCGACAGTGTACTGTCGGGTATGTAATTTACAGCTTGCTCCATTGCTATTGGAGGAACTGATACATTGCCTAGGTGGTTGATGACAAGCCATTCTAGTTCAAGGCCTTTTCTAATAACACTTCATTTTGGCCTGACCTTGATCCCTTAATTCACTCTCATTTTTTAGGGACACACACCTTATTAGACATGTCAGATTCTTCACAAGGCCTCCAAATATTCCATAAGATATGGCCACTACAGTGATTACATAAGTAAAAATTCTTAGAAGAAACAGGATATTGGAAATAGCCATTAGAAACAGGATTGACCCATACAGTAATATTTGAAGTATAATATGTTTGAAGAAGTATGCTGCATATGAGGACGCTATGATGGATATACGGATATAATGGGCTCTCTTCTCCATCTCTGACTGAACCTGTAAGAACAGCTTTCCAAATGGTCTGATCATTCAAAGCTAGGAAATGGTTCAATCCCTTTAGGTGTATTACGCTTCTTTAATGGGGCATCACTGGAAATAGTTCTCTGTTTTAGCCCAGGAGAGAGAGCAAAGGTTCTCTGGAGTGAGGTTTGTTGGCTTCAGTCACTGTCCCACATAGCCAAAAGTGACATGATGCCATCTAACCAACATTAGGAAAAGACATCAGAAACCAAAGGCCCAACACTGATAGATGGGGTCACGAATCAGTACCATGGATATCAACACAGAGTGGGGTGAGATAATAAAATAAACATTTCAGGATATCAAAAGCAGATACTCCAAGTATTAGGATATATGGGAGACCCAAGAATGGCATTTCTCAATTGGTGGGTCATGATCCCCACAGGGGTTACATATCAGATATCCTGCATATCAGGTAGTTGTATTAAGATTCAGAACAGTAGCCGAATCATAGATATGAAGTAGCGACAAAAACAATTTTATGGTTGGGGGTCATCACAACATGAGGAAGTGGATTAAAGAACTGTAGCATTAGGAAGGTTGAGAGACACTGCTCAAGAAGCTTGATTGACAGTCGAGGGGCAATATGGGCTTGGCCATGTGCTTAGGAGCCAAAGACCCTTCCCTTACAGTCTTCCTCTGCCACTTGCTAGCTGTACACCTTGAGAAAAGTTCCTTCATTTCTCTGACGTCACATTTCCTACTACTGATCATGAACACAGAATGAGAATGAAAGAAAACACGTCGGTGAAACGTCTAATATACAGAAGGCCCTCAAGAATGAGTGACATCATCCCTACCAGAAAAGACTAAAGCAGCAATGACAATGAATCCCAGTGCTTACTACATATGAGATAAGGGTTACCGTCACAATGTATGCAGTCTTGACAGAAATGTGACATTCCTTAAGAGCAGAGAAATTTTCTGAAATGTTACCGATGGGGAACTATCCCCTATACATGGAATATAACATATTGTGTATACAGTATGGGAAAGCCTATGAATACAAATGATTAAAACCTAATTTTAGGCCATAAACATGCTTACCAGCAAAAGCGCCATGAATAACTGCAAGGCAGAATAGCTGGCAGAATTGATTTCAGAGCCGAGTTTTATTTGTTCAAAGGCTACGTTTTGCACTATGATTTTGTTGTTGCTGCTATCTAGATAACAGAGTAGACATAGAATAGAAAAAGATGTGGGGGCTGGAGCACTAGCTCACTAGTCAAGGTGCTTGCTGCTCTTGCAGGGCTTGAGAGTCCACTGCCCAGCACCCACTGTGGGAGATTCACAACCATCTGTAATTCCAGCTCCAGGAGGTCTGATTCTGGTGTCTCTGGGCACCCGTAGATATATGCACCTGCACACATACACATACATAAATAATAAAAGAAGTCTTTTTAAAAAGGATGTGGAAATCCATTTTAGTAACAGAAAATGCTAACGTGACATTTTATATTATGCTTTAAATTTAAATACATGATCTTATTTTCTGGACTATGTTATATGTATAATATACCACGTTCATTCTGAAAATAAATGCATTTGATGTTTTTGATTACAAGTTACATGGTCATTACAGAAGTTTAAAAGCACAGAGTCAGGCTAAAAAAATAAAACGAGAAAAAGAATCCTAGTCCACAATGCAGCAATAATTCATCAACCTCTTTGATGTAGTTTTACATGCACATACTACAAACACAACTTAAAAAAAAGAAAATTAGGATCATTTTTTCATAGTTTGAAGATCTTTTTGCTATTTAACCATCTGGTATAATGAGATATTCCCCACCATCCTGAGACGTTGTTCATTGACTGCAGACACTCTGGAATTCTCCCATTCGGTCAGCTGGCTTTCCCTACATTCAGTCACGGCTGCCATGCCACCAGGGCAATCTTCACACACCTCTCTCCGTCTGTACCTCTGGCAGTGCCTTCAGGATATATCCTTGGAAGTAAAAATTCTTGTTCGGAAGGAAATAATTTTAGGTCTTTGCTGTGTGCATTATTGCAGTGCTACACCCAGCCTCGATGGAAATTTATATTCCCTGTGGCAGTAGAGAAGAATGTGGACCTCCCATCCCCCCTCTAACATTGAGTGCCACCTCAAAAAGATTTGCTCACTTCTCACTGCTAGACATTGCTTATTTTTGATTTGTATTTTTTTGATTACTAGTGAGTTTTTGCCTTTTTATTTCCCTCACACTTTTGGGGGATACTGCCTCCTAACAAATGTAAATGCTTGGCCCATATTCCTATCTAGAGAGCTCACCTTCTGAAAGAGAGATTTCTTAAAGACTTCCATATTGCTGTTTTTATTAAGACTTTGCTGCTAATTTAATTGTTGGCGACGGCTGTCATGCAATGGTGGTAGCAGTGTTCTTCCTCGTACAACTTCACAAGCTTTAAAATAAAAATAAAAATAAAAATAAACCATGGTGAGGCCAACTCCGTTTCTGTGAACATCCTTTGGAACCTGGACCAGGGAGTGGCAGTTGGGGCTTCCCATGGGTAATGGTTCCCAGTGTACTAACTGGGAAAAAAAAATTTGTAATGCTGTGCTCTCAGCTGAGATTAGAACTTCATACCCAAATGAATTTGGTCTGACTCTGGCTCGCTTAGGGCCCAGCTGGGAAATGGATGGCAAGTATTGCAAGGGAAATGTTAGGTCCTTCCCCCATAGCCCGCCAGAAGCCCATCTCATTGTACCCGACTTTTGCTGTGAGGTCTCCAGGTGCTCCCACAAAACTTGTGTTTGGGCTTATTTTCATCCCCACGCCCACCACTGCTGGCGAGAAGGAAAACTGCCTAATGCAGAGGGTTGAGAACTGGTCATCTGGTGACCCTGTCAGGGTGGTCCCCGTACCAGGTGTGCTATAGATTGTTCACATTTGCACAACTTTTTTGGCAGCAAGCTCTTAGGAGAATGTTTCTGTGTGAACAGATTCTCTCCACTTAGAAAAAAAAAAACACGCTTGAGTTTCTCTTTCCCTTCTTCCACAGTCCTTGTCTAGCAAGCACTGGCAAAAGTCACAGTTTCGTTTGGTGAACGATGACAGCTTTCCAAAATCCTCTGCCAGAATCTCCTCGAGATTTGTTTTTCTCCTCCTTCTTAATTTAGAAACAGTCTTCAAAGGAGAAGAAAGAGAGAAACCTGATAAATTGATGCGAGAGGAAAGCAACAATGATTTAATTATTTTTTATTTCTTTCATGATAAGGTTCATAGATGATCATTTACAATCAAAATTAGATGAGGTAAATTTTTTGGGGGGTTGAGGGAGTAATAAAAAATGTATATATATACCCCAATACTAGGTTAATTTTTTGTTTTAGTCAAGAAGTAATGTGTGATATAAATTCAAGACTTTATTAAAATCATTTTGGAGTTAAATGAACATAATAGCTTGGCGGTGAAGGAAGATTTTTCTTTTAATAAGGCACAATAATGAGTTATGTGAATAAACAGAAAGAATGAAAAGTGTTAAAAGTGTTAACTGTGACATTTAAGTAGTTACATGATTTTAATTATTCTTTTGATAATAAGCAGCCTTGTGACGTTTATTCAAGGAACTGAAACCCGTGCCTACCATGGAATTTGCAGGAGAATGGGAGCTTTGTTTCCTGCCTTTGGCAATTTTAAGGAAACAAATGGGAATGGATTTAAGGCTTTATAAAATGTACCACCTACCACAAGGATTTCAAAAGTGCAAAGGTGAGGTTGCACTCAAGCACTGGGAGGAGAGACGGAAAAGGATTTTTCTTTTCTTTCTTTTCTTTTTTTTAAGTAGGCACAGGCACGCTGTACTGATTTGTGAGACAGAGCGAGGAAGGCCAGGAGATCTAGAGAGGAGGCCGGAGTCCAGAGTGTCTTCTCCTCATTTGTTCTTGGCTGCTAGGGGTTTCCGGCTGATCTTTTTTGATTTGTCGTTATTCTTCTTTGGGGGTTCTGGGTTCGCCTGCATGTGTCTGCCGTAGAGGCTAAAGAGAGAAAGAGAGAGGGTGAAGTTATGAGCTTTGTTTACTAGTCTGATTCTTTAGAAAGATTTAAATATTCAAGCACCAGGTATGTTTGACAAGTGAAAAATGTTTGTTTACTCTGCCTCATCCATTCTAAGAACTTATGATTTTACACATGCATGTACAGACACGTATGTATGTGCATACCCCCTGTGCTATGGTTTTCTATCATAGACAAGGTTCTTGGTATTTTACACTTCCTGGACAGGGTGCAGGAAGAGGAAGGGACTGTGAACACAGGGCATGTTTACAAAGCCCTTCCAGAGCAGTGTTTCAAAGACTTAAGAGTATTTATACCTACAAGGACAAAGGACTCATTGAACTTGAGAGACAGAATATCCATTTCAAGAGCAGTAAGTACCAATGCTTGGACTGAAAGCCCAGGGGCCAGCTAATGTGACTAAGAGCAATGTCTTAGAGATCAGATTGGCTGCTCATGGATGATGGATAGTGTGGGGATGGCCACCACACATCAATGCCACTTTAATAAGTACCGCTGATTAAATGTTGACAAAGTGCCCCACAATTACAGTGGATGGCATCTATTGCCGGAAGGGTTTAACTGAGCAGGAGATAGTAATTAATCCATAATTTATGAGTAATTCTGATTAAACAAAATTAAAGCCACCCTAAAATAAATAAAGCTCAGCCTTAACTCCCCTTGGTAATATAATTGTGTTTTCCAGAGCGTTCCATGCACCTCTCAACCCTTGGTATCTCTAGAGGAAAGGCCTGGCCTCAGTCACAGTTGCACCTGCTCTTTGTTAATGGGATGAGAGTCAGCCAAGAGTCCCACCTCTCCGGGTAAGCAGTCACTGGTCCTCAGGCCTACTCAGCATCACATCTATTCTTCTGAAGGTTTGTTTCTGGGTCTGTTTGCTTACTGATTTACTTACGGTGCACAGCTGAGGATGAGTCCAGGGTCACGGGTATGCTAGATAAGTGCTTTATCCCTGAGCGACACCCCTAACCCCTTCTCCCAGTTTTGACACTAACACTATATGACTACACACTGTGAGGAACACAAGGATGCACTTGACTGGCGTCAACACTCTGGCTGACAAGTTGAGGGGAGGACCCGGCATAAAGAATCGTCTCCTTGGTAGGCGGCAAGCCAGGCACTGGTGTTATAGTAAGTAACATTATGTTTGCTCTTCTGCAGACTCCCAAGTGCCAGTTTAGAAGATGGTTGTTCCAACAGGGCTGATGGAGAGGTCTGCCCTTACAGAGCTGAGAATTCAGAGTTTACAGCTCACAGGGGATGGAACCCAGAGCCAGGTGTGGGGACTGCTCTGCAGGTAAAAGGGACAGTCATCCTCTTGTATCAAAGAGGCAGCCTATCTCTGTACAGGTTACAAGGGAGCCTGCGGATAGGCTTCAGCCCTGCAGCAATTAGGAGCTCGGAGAGCTTTGTACTGTCATAATGGTCAGAGTGGCCTGGACACCTGGGGTCCTATAACCCAGAAAGAACTAATGGCTTTTAATGGTGCACAAAGCAAGTCCAGCCTTAGTTCTGCCACCCAATTCCCATGCTGTCAATATCTCTGCCTATGTATTGCCTTCCCAGAATCTTGCCCAGAGACAATAAACAGAAAGCACACTGAGCCAAAGCAGCCCGGCCATTCTACTCTTTACCTTCATTTGCACATTTGGAAAAATACTTTTCAACCATATAGCCTCTGTGATCTCTTCACCCAAGGCCACACACCCAGGGCTCCCCTGGAGGACTCTCATCTCTGAGGTCCTTTCGCATGTCACAGAGCCAAGATCTGATTTTGTCTTGTGCACTCACAAGGATGCCCCTGACCTCAGGATCATCTGTTCCACTGATTTCTTATATTTTCCCTCTGTTTTACAACCTCTTATCCCCACAAAGGAAAAAGAAATACACATGCTCAAACTCAGACAACCTCAGACGTGATGGATTAGAAAAGCCAAGAGGAACAAGACAGCTCATTCGTACGTGTTTTGGTGTGAATGTGAAATGCTCTCAAAAGCTGGGTTTGAACCCCCGATCTGTAGTCAATGGCACAATTCTTTCGTGGGGGGCACATGTCTACAGAACTACTGAAATATGGGGCCTAATTGGAAAATGTGGGCCACTGTGGGGGGTGTCTTTAGAATTATACTGGGTTTAGCTTCTGGTCCCACTTGGCTTCCTTATCAAAGGGTGATCCAAGCCATGCCACAAGCTTTCAACGCTATGCCTACATCATGATGGATTGGTATCCCCTGAAATGAAGAGACAAAATAAATCCTCCTTTTTTAAATTGTGGCTGTCAGGTATTCTGTCATAGCAATGAGAAAGTATAACTAATACAACAGGGAAATGCAAAACTACCTCAGTATTAGCAAAGGCATACCAACGACAAGAGGAGATGGAGGGCCAAGAGAGCTCAAGTCTCATGAAGGACTTGACTGGCATGGCCTGAACGCAGCGAACCACATGGGCAAGCAGGACATTCCCTGGAGAGGCAGGGATCCAGAAAAGTCAGTTCTGAAGGAGACGCTAAAGCCACGTGGCACTCGGCAAGGCTCTCCTTCCCTTAGAGAAAGAGCAGGAATGTTCCAGTGTTTCAATTACTGCCTTTGACACTCAGCTTACACTGTGTGTGCTTGGGCTTCCCAGGGCTTTGGAGCAATGCACCACAAAGGGCTAAGCAGTCACTGCCGGCGTGGCAGTCTGAGTTTTGACCCTTAAACAGTGTTGCCGCTGAGCAAATCAGCAGCAGCTTTCACAGGCACCCGCCCTCTGCCATGCCTCAGTTTCCTCACCTGTAAGTAAGGGACTTTCCTTACAGGGTAGCTCTAGGCTGGGGACCATGGTAAATCTACTGGAAGTAGGCAGAAAACACTTTTGAAAACGAGGGCTTATGATATGGAGTTCTACTCAGAGTGGTTAAGTAGAGTTAATCACATGGTTATCTTATTTCATTAGGAGTTTCCTCTGAAAAAATAACATGTTATTTTCTAGCAATGACAAAGCTTTAGACACTCTAGAAGAAAGGTTTTAATTCTCTTTGAAGGAAGCAACCGTGGCTGAGCTAAATGCACTGCCCCACTTCCTCAGTGAGTCACTGAAGGGTTGGATGGTGCCTCTGTCCCCTGTGTGATCCTTTAATTCCTCCAGCTATGTGGGCAGATAAGAGTCAGCCTTATCCTGAGCAGCTGTCCCCACTGAGAGATGGACTGTGGCAGGGCAGTAAGGACACATATCTCAGGGTCCAAATTTTTGGGTACCATTCTTGGCTGCACTACTTATTACCCAGGGGGACCTCCATTTTCTAGGTGTGACAGACAGATCACTGGTCTGCAAAGGTGACCACATCGTAATCCTTCCAATACACTCTAAGGTTTAGGACTTTGTAGACTCCGGCCTCCTCCACTTGTCCCATTCCTTCCCATTTCTGCACCCAAGAAGACCCTAGCCATCCTTCAGCCCCGAACACTCTGTCACTTTCAAGCTGTGATGTAGCCCACAGCATCCAGGACTGCAGGCCCTGGGGTGAAGAGATCCAGCTGTGTACTCATTTCATCTGTACCGCATTCAGTTCCCAATGCTGCACGGCCTTGGGGATACCACTAGGTCACCACAGTCTGATGTTCTCTTCTACAGGACGGAGATGAAATTTCTCTGCAACCTTGGAGAGGGCTTCAGGAAAGATGGAGCTAGACACAGAGAAACGATCCTGTCCATGTTGGCACACGACAGATGCTCTAAAGACTATCACTACCTTTAACATCTCACAAAACTCATGACCCAGTCTACTAGTCCTCCTCTTAAACACTCACACATTCACACACACACACACACACGCATGCACACACACGCATGCACACACGCATGCACACACACACTCACACATTCACACACACACACACACACGCATGCACACACACACATGCACACACACACTCACACACATGTGCACACATGCACTCTGCTGTATGATCTGGAACCTATATTGTGACCATATGTCCCTGGGTTCTGTTTCTTGAAAGGATTCCAACAGGCACTGGCACCTGGCCATGTTGAACTGACAGTGTTGACAGAGAGAATCTTGCTCAAGATTACCAAGGAGCTTACAGTCACTAGTGGCCAAAGTGCTCAAGCAAGCTGGAAAATGGGGGAGTGGGAGATGTGTCTTTTGCAAAGAGTCCTAGAAAATCCCACTTCTGAAATCTAAGAAGATAAATGGAAGATGGTTAGTGAGTTCGAAAAAAAAAAAAAGCCACCACGACGAGGGATACTCTAAAGTGACAGGAAAGGGTCCATTCCTCCCAGGAGCCTGAGAAGCACACCTTGTCAATTTTAAAAGCACATTTGGCTTGTGGTTGCTCTCAGAATCTCCTTGCTCAGGAACACAAGGGCCCTCCACCTTCATCTGTGAAGACTAGAGTGAAAGGAGAAAGCCATGCCCCGAGCCACCAGCAGAAGACGCACTGGGAGGACCAGGGGAACCATTAGGAAAAGATCCTGCACACTGCTACTGTCGTGAGGACCCTACCTGGAAAAGCAGCTCTACTGAGGTGTCTTATTAAAGCAGTGGCACGCAGACCATACCAAGTCCATGAAACTGAAAACTACTACCCGTGAGTAGGTAATGGGGTATTGAATTCAGTTATTCAACAAAATGTTCCAGCCTAGCATATCAGAATAGATTTTGCAATCAGTGTTTCTATTAAGCATTATGAGATGCGCAGTTTCCCATTACGGATGTGTGAGTTCTGCTGAACGGGGACACTTCCAGTCTTAGACAAAGCCATATGTTTTCTTGCGGTCTTCTGCTGTGAACATCTCATTTCTGGAGAGCTGCCACGTGAGGACCACTGTGCACCAACCCACTCCTTCTTCCTGGAAGGTTTCTCTCTTGGCTACGAAGCACAGCCCGGAAATCCTCTGAAGGCATCTTTGAAGACCTCTTCTGTCCCGTGTCTCTGTTTTTATTCCTTTGTATCCT